ACCAACACCGCTGCAGCACCAACACTGCTGCTGCACCAACACTGCTGCTGCACCAACACTGCTGCTGCACCAACACTGCTGCTGCACCAACACTGCTGCTGCACCAACACTGCTGCAGCACCAACACTGCTGCAGCACCAACACTGCTGCAGCACCAACACTGCTGCTGCATCAACACTGCTGCTGTTAGAGTTCAAATACTTTATAATTCATAAAACATCCAGGTCAGACGAGACGGGTGGATCCAGATCACAAATGGGACGGGTGGATCCAGGTCACACATGGGACGGGTGGATCCAGGTCAGATGGGACCAGATCTTTAAGGGTTTTCTTGTTGTTCTCAGATTGCAGAGCTCGAGGCTCAGTGTAATGACACCAACCAGGAGAGGCAGAGGAACTCTCAGCTGAGTGTCCGAGTGAAGGAGCTGGAGGCTGAGCTGCAGGATAAGGAGCAGGTGAGTCTAAGAGCTACAGGCTCCGCCCACAGAGGCCAGCAGCGGTCAGAAAATAAAGAGTCCTGGTTCAGATTTTCTTAGACTTCAAACTTCTAAACAAATCAACAAATCTGTGAAAAACACAAACAACACTTCCTGTCAACAGCAGAAATCTAAAAATTCCCCCCAGTCTTTTTTTCTTTTAGCTTGACCTCTGAGACATAAAATAAATTTGAAGCGGAGTTATTTTTTTAATATATTGCTGTATATGTCCGTATATCTGCAAAATGTAGGGATATCTGTAATTTAAGGACAATCTGTACAACGCGTCTCACATGAGGTCCATGAGAAGACACTGAATTGGAATCGCTCAGATTGAATCTGTTTTTAAATAATCAAGTTAATAATGGTTTCAATCTTACTGATAAACCAGAGTTTCATCTGCGTACAGGGTTTATATTTTCTGATGATACAGAATAACTAAGGACTGAGTTATGAGCCCTGAGGAACACCATAACTGATGTGATGAGGACACATTAAAACCTCTAACAAGCAGGAGTCTGTTTTGTGTTTGATGTTAAAGGTCCAGCAGAACCAGACCTTTGTTTTAATCAGACAGTTCTGGTTCTGTTCTCTAAACTCCTAAATGAAACTCAGATGATTGTTGTTCAGTGAGCTAAAGGTTGTGTTTTAATGATTCTAGATCAAATTGAAGGTTAAAAAAATGTGTAGTTAAATAAAACATCAGACGCAAACAGGTTTCACATCTGAAAGTCTAGTTTTTTAAATTTAACCTGGTTTTCTTGAATAGATTTTATTCTTCAGAGTTTTTCGAGCTTCATGTGTTCCTCAGAACCAGCAGAACTCTGGTGAAGGAGGACGTTCTGTGCAGCTGATTAACGGTTCCTCGTTTAGTAAACCCTCTGATTACGGCTCCGGTTCTGTTTCAGCTTATTTTTACTCACTTCCTCTCAGAGCAGAAATACAGACCTGCTTTTTACAGCCAAATGGAAGAATTCTGTTTTTCTGTTAAATCTACCTTCATGTAAAAGATTTAGAGTTTACAGAAACAAAGTCTGAATTTATTTGGTTTTATTTTGTGATTTTTACTGTGTTGAGTTTCTATTTTCTTATTTAATTAATTAACTTTGAGAACTTGAGATGACTTTCAGGTCAAATAAAACACTTTTACTACGTTGAGGTGAGTGGACCTCTTTCAGTCTCTGAACCCAGACTTCAGAACCAACTCCTGACCCGGGTCTTTTAAATCCGACCTTTAAAACCTTTTTATTCAGGCAGACTTTAAACACCTATCAGGACTTCTGTAGCTCCTGTGGTTGATTTAAATGTTTTTATTTTCAGCTTATTTTGATCATATTCAGAATGAAAACTGGGCAATYATGTCTGTTAGCAAAATATCTCAACCAATGGATGGGTTTGATTGAAATTCTCAAAGATTTATTGGATCAACATCAAAATCAACTCGATTAAAAATGGCCGCCACCTCTAATTAAGTYATGCTAACACAGAGATGGTTATAATCCAGTTTGAACATTTTAAGCTCAGATTACAGGTGGTAGTAGCTGAGAGTGGCTGAAGGCTGTTTGATGATAAACATCAGTTCTGTTGAGTCRAAAACAAAAAGCTGCAGATTTTCTCAGAAACATGAAGCGTTTTTTTTTTAATCCGCGGTGCGAGGTGCCTCGCTCGGACCGCCTCAACCAGACCTAGCACAGACCACCTGAGGGAAGCTGAATGTGGAATATTCCAGGTTCTGACCCAACAGGCAGAATATTAATAGAWCASCTTCCTCTGGATGCAGGTGGGTTTCACTGCCTCACCTGGGAAAGTAGTTCAAGGAGCTGAAAGACCAGGAGAGACTCAGCTCCCCTGGGAGCGTCTGCTCTGTCGGCCATGTTGTTCTGAACGCCAGGCTGCGGCGTCCCAGCAGGTGACCTGCAGACCCACTCACCACCTCCAATTAAAGCCATGTTCTGAATTATTAAAGATCCGCTGTGAGGTCGGGCTGTGAGGTCGGGCTGTGAGGTCGGGCTGTGAGGTCGGGCTGTGAGGTCGGGCTGTGAGGTCGGGCT